AGAGCCATAAAAACCTGAGCAGAAGTCTCCAATTGTATTTTGTCGGCTTGAGGAAGACCCGTAGAGGCGGATGACGTTACATTGGTGGCAGAGGCTCCACACTGACGGAGAAGACGCATTATTTTTCTCAGTGTTTTTCCGGCATGTTCAACCCGAGTCACGTTGGTCTGGCATCCGACTCGCCATTCAGCGAAGATGGAATAGGGCCTTGGAGATTGTGGGTCAGCCTAACGGGCATGGGGAAACGCCGTTGATGAACTCGATTTCTGTTTCAAGGACCAGCCTGAGCTGCATGCTTAAGCACGAAATTTGAAAAAAAAAACCTTTGCTTAATAAACAAAGGTTACCAGCTCAAACTCTATGTGATTGTCATGCTAACCAACAACACCACCAAAAAAAAAAAACCAGCTATAAATACAATATCAAAACAATATACATCATTTGGAGTTTTGGCTGGTTAACTGATTTATCAAGTATAAGGTTTTCTCGCGCTTAAACATATTTTGTGTTTAAGCAGCTCTATGAAATTGGCCCCTGGTGAAAAGATGCCTCATCACTTTTGACGAACTGGACTCCTTTGTCAAGGATGTCGGCTTTACTCTGGAGGATATGGGCTGGAAGAGAGCAGTGACAGTGAGCAAGGCCAGACGGATGAGCGACATACCATGCATTGTCTGAACCAACATGGTATACGTGTTGTGTCCCTGACGGCGGCGAAGCAGACTTAATTATGTTCCAGTCAGAACACAGTCAAGTTGTGCCTTTCATAAATGCAGCAGAAGCAGGGCTTATCTTCGGTACACTTTATGATGTTTCTGTCAGTTCACGGAGTGTCAGTGCCCACGGGGGAACCGCCCCATGTTACCTTCCATTTGGAACGTAGTCAAGCTGTGCGTGCTGTTGCAACGGGGCGGGGCTTTATCATGGAACTCCCCACTTTTTCACTCTACAGCTACAAACGCCACGACTTGAAAAATTACAAGGAACAACCCCTTGGTGTCATGGGCGTCACTAGGATTTTTTCCAAGGGGGCCAGTTTTCCCCATTGGGTGGGAAATTTATGAGAATTGGTAATTTATGATAAACCCATTAAAAGGTGGAGGGACTATATTTTTAAAGCATTCAAATCCGTGACTTCCATCCCGTTTCCTCTCTTATTTCGTGTTTACTTCATTTTTTCTTTTATGTTAAATATTCCCTCATTTTTTTGGGGGGGGGGGGGTTAAGTGCCCCCTCTTGCCCTCCCCTAGCCACGTACATGCTTGGTGCAAATATGGACCCAGTCTCCCACCTTAAGTACCCACAGGCTGGAACCCATCTAAAGACACCCAACAAGACCGTACGGCAGACAGAATTAAGGGACCTCTCCCGGCAGCACTTAAGTCCCTCAACTCACAGTCTGTCAAAGCCTGGCCTCCATTCGGAGATAGTTCTCCCTGCAAGAGTCATGGAGGCAGAGCCCGTGGAGTTACTCCTCGATCTTGAGTGAATGGCGCGGAGCCTCTGGAGGGGCTCCGCACGGGAATCAATGGAGTGGACTCAACAGGGCCGCTCAGCACTGATATGAATGGCGAGGAGCCTGCGGATGGGCCCCACTTGGGAATTAATGGAGTGGACCCAACAGGGCCGCTGTGACTGGTGCGGACTGAACCGTTGGAGGGGCTCCGCGCGGGAATTTGTTGAGCTGAGCAGCTCCGCATGGAAGTGAATGGCGCGGAGCCGGTGGATGGGCTCCCCTCACTGGTCAATGGAGCCTAACGATCCGCACACAAGTTAATACTGCCGAGCCGGCAGAGATGCTCCGCACGGGAGTGAATGGAGCCAACTCGGCTCCTCACACAAGTCAATGGTGCATGCGTAGCTGCAGCTGGCAGCGGTGCTCCGCATGGGAGTCCATAAAGCTCAGCTGTTCTTTGCACAAAGAGCCGGAAGGTCAACGTCTGTTCTCTTGGCAATGGGAATGATGGGCGGTGATTCTTATAAGAGGCTGCAGAAGTGGCCGGCCGTTGGCTGCAGGTTGAGATCGTAGACTACGCCTGTGCGGTGGCTGAAGTTGCATCAGAGATGGAGACCGAACCACGGACGGGTTTTGGGACGGCATCAATCCACCCAGCGGCTGCGGGCAGTTGTCGCGCTGTGGCCGTGCTTGCTTGGTTGACAAAAACGCTACCAAGCTGGTTTGGTTGGTCAGCCAACCCCGTAACACGACGTATAGTGGGAGTCAACTGGAGCTGCTCCCACATACGGACACCAGGTGACAAGGGACTGGATCATGTCGACACCCCTCCTGCAGAAGCGTCTGCCTAGGAGGGCTGAATCCATTCGGGGAGCCCCCACCCCTGCGTTTTCTGGAGAACCTCTCCCGCCGTTTCTGGGAGGAACTCATCCGGCGAACAGAATTCCATCGGTATCCACCACACAAAGGCGGGATACCACGGCGCCCATTTCTATCTTAGCATCCTTGTTTTCTCAGTTAATGTTCGGTTAACCTTTTTTTCTCTGTTTTTCCCTATTGCTCGGGGACAAGCAAGAGTACTCGGAGGGGGCAGTGTATGTAGCGTCGGTCCCGGACGACCCTTGGGGGCGCTAGCACGGAAGAGGCGTGTGGTGGGAACCTACTGGTCAACCTGGGAGACCTATTGCCGTGGCGCTGGCGCAGTAGTAATTTCTTAATCACACTGTTTGGGGTGTGTTTTGTAGGTTATACCAGACAGGAGTGACGATGTGATAATAAACGGCCGAGAGCCATAAAAACCTGAGCAGAAGTCTTCAATTGTGTTTTGTCGGCATGAGGAAGAGTCGAGGCGGTTGACATTACAATATATTAGTTGAAACTCAGAGCTGATAGAGCACAAGGGGCATCATGTAAGTGGCAACCACACCCAGCAAATGTCTCAAGAAGATATAAAATAAATGATAGGACAATCTGCCCTGATGCCTTTGAGACTGGAACATTGTAAAAATTTACAAAAATAGATAATAGCTGTCCGATTAAAAGTACTCACAGAACACACGCATTGCGATTCGTTGATGTGGGACTAGATATTATACAAAAAATCCACACATACCGACGAAGGTCGTGGAGTTGGGGTTACCGAGGTTGAAGTGGTATAAACCGAGAACAAACAGGATTAGGGTCATGTTATCCCTAAAGGAACAGGACAGAATTTGCCCCACCCAGTAATAGCCTATATCATCGCAATGAATTCCTGGGAACGTTTTGCAATAAGTTTGACGCCATCTTGCAAAAAATATGGACGTACTGTTCTTCCAATATCGGGAATTCAGTTGTTGATATAGTTTGGCCTGGTTAGGAATCGAAAATTTAATGGATATGAGTTTTTTGTAGTGTAAATAAGAAATGGTATGATTCTGCCCACTGACAACTTCGATTTATGTTTAAAAACTCTATATTTTTATGATGTGTCTGTTCGCAAGGTATTTAAGATATTATTCACAATGTCATTGATGAACGCAATGGGACGGAGGTGTTAACTGCCAGGATTGGGGTGGTGCGGTCCTTCCCCTTTCCCGGTTGAATTACCATCGCATGCATCTTGTTTCACTGTTGCAAGTGTCTACTTTTCTCTTTGACATTTTCGTAGAGGTCAGTCGAGCAGGCCCCTATTTAGGTCTTGGATTGGGAGGGTGCACAAAACTTGCCCCTGACGGAAATATGTGGTTTTTTGCTGTTTTTTGGTCAGAAAGGATGGGTGAGTAGGAAAGGAGGTGTTCGGATATTAATTTATCAAATATTTGCACTGAATCCCTAAGAAACAACACCAGCAAATAAAATCAACGATATCGGGACAGTGAGTAAGGCTTTTGATTTTTTTTCTCCACAATATCAAGTAGAATGAACCTGAAGACGCATTCATTTTGGATTTGCCCCCCCCCCGGTACACCAAACTTCTAGATACGCCGCTGATGTAGGTATCATAAACGGGTCGTCATGTCTGAGGAAGAATATACGTTGAATACGGGCGATTCACATTAGTGCGTCACCAAAAGTTTGCCGCGTGTTGGTCAATCACAACGCGCGAAATTTGTCGACCCTTTCCAAACATGCATTGGGTCGACAAATTTCGCGCATTGTGATTGGCCAACGCGTTACAAACTCTTGGTGGCGCACTATTGTGAAACGGCCGTATTGCGCGCGTATTCTAGCGCCGCGCCTGCGGGTTGTGTCGGTGTCAGAGTAGACTTGAGATGGTCGAATTTTATTTTTACTTCAGTGGAAATCCATCATGGCTGCTCTATAGCGTAAACCAATTATCATAATTTTGAGATTTTCGACTTTTCTAATTGCATGGTTGATCATCCGCTAGTTGCACATGAGACATGCGCTCGACCATGGAAAGATACGAACGCGTCAATATCATACCCGAGGACACGAATGATGAAGTTGCAACTACAGGGTG